GTGTGTGTGTGTGTGTGTGTGTGTGTGTGTGTGTGTGTGTGCGTGTGTGTGTGTACTGCTTTCACATGCAAATACACGTTTAAATAATAGACTTCTAGCCGTTTTAAATATAGACATTTTATTTTGTAATCATTTTCTGGGAAACCGTAAAATAAAAAAGCTCCTCGGGCACAAACTGCTGTGCCACTTTGGTTCTACAGTTGACACTATAAATAAAAACAACCTGAGTACAGCACAAATACAATTATGAAGAATATAATACCGCTTGTTTCTGTGATGTTTTAGCACCAACCTGCTTTTTGCTTGAACTGTTGTTCCCAACGTTTCTTAAGTTGTGTTGTTTTCATCGTTCAATAGCAACATGGAGTTCGTCAGATCAGGCGTTTAAAGGCATTGCATTCTGGGATCTTTGGGTTCCAGCCTCTCTAGTCATGTATTAGCTGTAGAGAGGCTTAAAGTCGGCCCTCGCTGTTTCCTTTTTGCCTCTTCTTGCAACATGTCAATATGCTGAATTTGCAATACTAACTTTCGTGTTAGCTCTGTGTTTTTTCAACATCTCTTTAAGTAAAACTTGTGGCAGGTTGTTCTGCTGGGAAAGAGGTCGATGCAGTGAGCGAGGTGAAGTAAAACCAACCGAAACAACGCGCTGTCAGAACAATCGACTGCTTAGAAACTTGCATAGGTCATTTGTTAATATGAAAAAACTGATTAGAAAGCTGATTTAGCTTCTGTTAGCGCATCCTTTTGGTTTCGTCCCTGTACTTAAAGCTACCAGCAGATAGTAGAAGTCTGTATTCCTGACAAATGTGTACTTTTATTACTTTTATACGCACACATTGTTAGATCAGCCCTTCTTAAAAGACAGATAAAATGCCCTTAAGTTAGATAAACACATCTTAATGTTTATAAGGACCTTTCTCTCGGACCATATCTCTAGTGGAAAAGTGGTTTGAATGAAGTTATTGAAACAGATATTTCACTGTTGGTCTCGCCTGATGTTTTACTGTTAAGGTTATGGGCCTCTCAGTGTTCACTAACATGCCGTCCGATCACATGAAGTCCAGTTTTCTGTCAATTTAAAGCCAAACTTAACTTGAGATCTGCCGTACTAGCCAGGGACATGGCGGTAGTATTCAAGTTTAAAGGGAAAATCTTGCATCAGAAGCTCTTTCCAAATTAAGAGAAGGCCGGGTCAAAATATTAAATATACAAAATATCATCAATGATTTTAAATAAGGAATCGGAATCACCCTCGTCTCTATTTGTTCATGGACTTCAGAGCCGGGGGGACTTTTCCAATCCAGTTTTATGATCAGGACTCGAGTCTGATGATCCCTGTCGGATGTTTCTGGTCCAAAAAGTCCATAAAGAGTCTCTCAGCCGTCAGTAGACTCCCAGACTCTGTGATGCTGAAGGAGCTGTTGGACCCACTGGAGGAAGACCTAAATGTGGCTGCGGGTACCAGTCCTGGGGGGGGAAATCTCCCATTTCTCCCATGCAGGCGGGCGAGGAATCCATCGGCGGCTGGAAGCGATCCTGAACTCTGCTGCTAGGATCCATTATGGCGTTACTTTTGACGCCAACAACGACGTTTGTGTCGACGACATTGTTGTTGTTGTTGTTGTTGTTGTCCCACACAGCAGGGGAGGGGGGGGAGTTACACGCCATGGAGTCACTGGCGTCCGGACTGTGTTCAATAGGCATGTCGCCGAGAGGAAACTCCCCGTTCTTGTAGAGCTTTTTGAACTTGGAGCGACGGTTCTGGAACCAGATCTTGACCTGGAACAAAGATGGGGAATGTTGAGGAAACTTTAAGTGATTACATTTCCAATATTCACTGTTTTACTAGCTCTGGTTATGTCTTCATAAGCTCCTGAAGTGAACATCCGGACCTGTAGCAGCCTAATGATTGATTTCCCGCTGTAGAGAAGTTGATAAGAGCAAGTGATATGAGGTCGAATCCACCAAAACAAGACGCTGAAAGGCGCTCAAACGCTCAGAGGTGCAGAGGGGACAGAAATAATTATTTGGAGGGTTTTTTTTACGATTAAATTATTTTATAATTTATAAAGACATTTTATTGAAACTTCTTATATTTATATAGATTTCAAAATGTAATTTAATATTTAATTACACATTATTTTATTAACACCTTGTGTTTATTTATTTATTTTATTTATTTTATTTATTTTATTTATTTTATTTATTTATTTTATTTATTTTATTTATTTTATTTATTTTATTTATTTTATTTATTTTATTATCTTTTCTTTCCTTTTAAATTCTAACCTCTTCCATAAGTAACGCATTCTGATTGGCTGCCTGCAGCGGTGATGTCACAGATATAATTTACAGCTCCTACAGTGATTTGTTTACCCAATATTAAATCTGTGCGAGCCACAAACCAAAGACATGACACCCTCCTGTTTGAGCAGGTTTTCAATGCCTTTGTTTTCTCTCAGCGCGTGTTCACGATGATTTACAGCCGCGATGATAAAACAACCGCATCAGGAAGTTTTATCAGCTGAGCACAGGTAAGGCCGTAAATCATTACACAGGAAGAGAGACACTGAACCCGACTGATACATCTGCAACGCACTGTAATGCATTTAATCACACTGACTGTACTCTGTTGCAAATCATCATTCATTTAGCTTTTAAATGTTATATTGACCTAGTATGGTGTATGCTGTTATTCTCCTGTCATAGAAGGTCCAGCAAATCATGTTCTCGAGCAGTCGTTCTCAAACTTTTTCTGTCAGGCCCCCCCTTTGGAGAAAAAAAAAAGTCCCCCCCCAACACAAATAGTCAGGCTCAGTGGCGACGCCAGAGAATTATTTTGGGGGTGCTGTGGGGTAGCTTGACGTTTCATAGAGGGTGCTCAAACATTTAGGGTTTCCCATTAATGTACCGGTCGCTACAGTGGAATGTTCTACTGNGCCCCCGCCTCGACTTAAGCGTGACGTATGCGGTGCTTTTGCTCTAACCAGACAATTTTTTGGTGCTTGAAGCGAACCGGATTCCGGAGCTAAGAGGCTGCTCCGCTGCGGTGTGAACAGGAAAACCCGGTGCTTTTCGAGCTCCAGCTCCGAACCGGCCCTGAAACACCGTTGATGTGATTGAGGTATTGGATACAATTTCAGAGTCTTCATGGGAGTTTTGTTGCAGCTTTGAAAAAGGGACTATTCATCAAGCTCAATGTGAGGAAAGAATAAATACTTTAGAGTTTGTTTGACTCCCACTGAGGTTTAACCTGTTCACCCCGACGTAACCAGCTATGTAAACACACACACACACTGAAAGGAGGAGAACCACAAATAGACAGTTTAAACATGCCATGCTCCACTGTTATCTAGGAGTGTGTTTGGGTGTTTTGGTAAACAGAGTATTGTGTAAGCTCCTGAATTTCTACTCAAAAGGTCCCGCAATCATCTTGTCCAAACTACATTAAACAGGAAAAAGACTCAAAAGCTTTCTTGCTTTGAGGTGACTTATCAAAGTCCGATAACAATCCATAGAATAAATGACAACATTTCCAAAAAGGAGCGTCTGTTTTTGGCTAATCTTCTCACTGATACCAAACAATACCAGACATGTAGCGTTAGATACAGATTAAACGTCCATGATTTTTCATACTCAACACTACGGTATAAACAAGACTCTCACAGTTATTGTGTACCGAAAATGTAGATGTCCAATAATTCCCTCTTGAAGGTGGGGTAGGTAATTTTGAGAAACCGGCTCGAGATACACTTTTTGTTATATTCCATGGAATGCTCTTAACATCCCGATAGCAATGAAAGTGCTTTGACACAAAATCCATAAAAAAATGTCATCTGTGGAAGCCTTGGCGCTGTAAAAAGCACAACCAATCATCTGAGCCGGCCCGGCTAAAGTAACTGGATGGCCTACCTGCCTGTCAGCCTTCCATCTGTGCACAAACTTATCTCGTGCCCTCATTGGTCATGTGCGCGTTCGTGTGTGTTGGAGGAGGGGCTCTGTAAGGAAGTGGCAGAATTTCTCCGGCTGTGTATTTTCAAATTCTAGCGCACTCGAGCTGTTTTCTCCAAAATTACCTACCCCACCTTTAAATATTTATATTGCTGTGAAAAAGCTTCCTTCAAACAACAACAGGAGTCTAGCTTCAAACTACAAAGATTACATTTGAGACTGTGATCATTTACGTTCACCCAATGTTAGCTCTGTTATTCAGCCAAGCAGGAGTGAGCTGACCGCTGGCTGCATTAGCTATTAGCTAACAGCTAACGACTAACAGCTAACGATGACTAATGTTAACAAGCTCATCTCCTGCTAATTTCAACACCAAGTCATCAATGGGACAAATAGGGTTTGTCCCATTGATGTATCCATACTGAGTTTACGGTGTCCTTTAAAATATTTTTGCTACAAGGGCCTCTCAGGGAAGATCTCGGTTCATCCCAAATACATGATCTATAGTCAATAGCCTGCATTACTGTAGAAAATCAAGTACCGTCCCATTTTGAGAATTTGTCATTGACATCCCTACATTGCAAAAACTAAGAGCAGATAATGTGCTGAAGAGCTGCAGGATAAACCAGTGAGTGTCAAGATAACTGATTGATTTGCATGTAGTGAAAGCTGCAGTGTGTTGCAGTCGGTGGTAGGACTGCTCAATTAATCGTATTTTAAATCGCAATTACGATTTTGGCTTGAAACGATTATGAAAGCAACATAATCGATTTTTTAATTTTTTTTATTTATTGGTTTTTCAGTTGAATTATACATAAAGTTCAGGGTAATCAACTGTTAAAAACATTTCAATAAATTGATGTTTTCAAAGTAAATGGATAATCGTGATATCAATTATTGACCAAAATAATCGAGATTATGATTTTTGCCATAATCGAGCAGCCCTAGTCGGTGGTATATTTAGAGGAAGGTTCACCACAGGGAAAACCTCCTCCTCCTCCTCCTCCTCCTCCTCCTCTCTGTCGCACTGTTCCACTTCCTATCTGCTGGACGTTTTCCAGAACAATCCTCCCTCCATCCCGGGAATGTTTCTAGGCTGGTATGTTTTACTCCTGTCCTCCTTTCTCATCATCCCTCCTTAACAACTACCTGACTGTTGCCTCCTATCCTCCTCCTCTTCTCATGCATTTGTTTTGGCACCCGATACTTTGTGAATAATAAATAATCTTCAGTTTCCTCTGAAAGAACTGCATTATTTTGACCAAATCTTCCATCCTCCTCTTCTCCTGTGTTTATTCTGGCACCGGATTTTCACAAACTACTCCTTTCCCTCCGGACCACCTCCCTCTTTCCTCTCCCACACGTCTCCCCCCTCGCCTCCGTCACTCTCCCTCCTCATCCTCAGGGGCCTCATGAAGAAGTTCTCCTCCTTTCATACTTTAACTTCTGTTTTAAAATAAATATCTAAAAAAGGTATTTAGGATTTCAAGTCATGGACATTTAAGGAGAAATAGGGAAAGGATATTAAGGGTAGGACAAAAGAAAGAAAGAAGTCAAGTGTGTGTGTTTGAGAGGAAGTAAGGCTGAAGAAATATAGAGGGATGAAGGGGAGGAGAAATAAGGGTGTGAGAGTGAAGAAGGGAGCGTCTGCAGGACGACAGACTGGCCTCGATTACACACACACACACACACACACACACACACACACACACACACACACACACACACACACACACACACACACACACACACTTTCAAACACAGACACACACACACACACACGCACACACACACACACACCCT